CCAAAAAAAATTTAATATTAATTATTATTAAATTTATTATTATTTGTAAAATTTATTATTAAAATTTATATAATAATATTTTATCATTGCTTCGAATGTTGAAAAATTCTTTTCAGAGTTATGATTTAGGAAAAAAATTATAAAGTTATAGATTATAAAAATTATAAAAAAATTACTATTCTAAAATATTGAAATTTTTTAAAATAATTTAGATAATCAGTTTGCAAAAATCAATTTTAATACAATTAAATTTATTTTCAAAATAAATTTTAAATTATTAATATTAATTAAAAGATTTAATAAATTATCGATTCGAATCAAAAATGAAAGAATTCATTTTCTGTTTCCTTGATTTATTGAAACAAAAATTTCATCATTTGTTATTGCTGAAATCTTAAAATCTCTTAATTTCTTCTATTTCTTTTGTTTTATTCATAAATTCATAGAAATGAAAGTTATCCTTAAAAAAATTGTTGCAATGCCTAGCGACTCACCTATACTTCCATCACCAAGTACAGTCTTTGGCACAGTTTATCTGGTCCAATAGGACAGCGGAGCGAGCTCTAAGCAGCAGTGGCGAATGCTCGCCAAAAACATTTACTGATATTGTATTACCATATATAAAAAATTTTTTATAAGAGTGCTTATCATTCTTAGTTAAACTCGATCCGTTGTCATTCTTGGAGCAGACTTGCTAGAGGTAAAAATGAATCGCCAACACCAGTTGGTTTTTTGAAAGACAAATTTGCCATTGCAATGACGAACCTTAGCATTAGCGCTACAAAATCAGCAACAATTCATTGAGCCATTCTTCTCACCTTTAAAAAATAAATGAATATTTTTATATTTAAAAAATAATTAAACGAACCAAATTTAATATTTGAAATTACATATCTGAAATTTTTGCAGATTCTTCTATTGCATGTTTAACAAATGAGAACTGTGAGGTTTGGACGAAAGAAAAATTTTGCAAAAATGGCTGTTGTCTCGATCGACATCAACATCAGTATCAGCATTAAATAATATCAAATAATAATCATCAAAATAAAAATATTTACCTAATCAGTTTCAGTGTTCAATTGTTTCGATTTTTTTTACATATTTCGCCTAAAATTCTAATAAATTTTATCATTTATCAAATTTTATCTTTTTTCTTCGCTTGATTTGTGAGAAAAATTTTTAAGAAATAAAATAAAGATTTTCATTAATTTTTAAAAAAATTTGGTATCCATGAAATAATTAATAAATAATAATTGATTAAGAAAAATCAAAATTTTAATAATAATGATTATATAATAAGAATAAATTTAATAATAGATTTTAATAAAAATTAATTTATTAGAATTATTTGCATTCATTCAAAAAATAACAAAAAACTTTTTTAAATTCTTTTAATTTTAATTTTAAAATGTTTTATTACGAAATTAAAATTTAAAAAAAATATCTATGAAAAGTAATTTTACGTTTTAATGCTCTTCTTGCCATTGATCACCATTGATAATTTGGCCCACTCTACTAACGACTATCGTAAGGTGCTTCAGAACCGATGTTGTACCTGAAAGTAGCCACACTTTTTTCCAACGCCTAAGCCCATATTTCGCCTATATGTTCAAAACCTCCCAACCTCATCATCCCAGGTCTTGAAATGGCTGAATACTAGTGCTCATGACACATAGCACATGTTCTCAAGCAACTCGCTCGCATAGTTATGATTTTTTGATTCACCCTACTATTAAAAGATTATACTTACGAAAAAAATTTAAAGCAATTTTCAATAGAACTAAATAAAACCAATCTTTCCGAATAAAATTATTTGTTTGCTTTGTAGTTAATAAAATTAATTATCTGCTTTTATTTTAGGGAGGCTTCTAAAAAAAGATTTCATTAATAAATCTACCCACTTCATAATTTTATTATAATTTTTTTTGATAAGCTTCATTCAAAAATTATTTAAAATGAGAGTGGAAAATATTAAGAAGTTATCTGCTGTTGACCACTCTTGTCTAAGGTTACGAAAGGTTACATATTACGAATCCGTCGAGCTGATTAAGATATCACACGATCTACCTTCGTTCAAATACCACTTGCATAAATACTATTATCACAGAACGTTGCCTTCGCTGGTTAGGTCTTCTTCTCTGTCGTCCATAACAGCGTTGACACATATTTCGTTATTTGCTAAACCGTATGGTGGCTGGCAAGCGAGGTGGACCAATCAAGACCTGGACTGATACGGTCAGGAAAGGTTTTGAAAGATATAGGGAGACCAGCGATAGATGGTCTTAGACAATGGAAAAAGGAATGGCTTCTATTACTGTCGATGATGGCATCAGACCGCGCCGTTTGGAAGCCCTTGTAGCCTTACCCTTGTAGCCGTTTCAGCCAGCCCAATCCGTAATGGTGAGAGCTGTTGGAAGAAGAAGAATTCAAAAATCATTGTAACACAAGAAATTACTTGAAATTATAAAATTATTTAAAGTAAAACATAATTGTTAAATGCAAATTAATAAGACTCTTTATTGACAAATTTTGGTACAAAATTCACTTAGCGATAGAAATACAGGTGGGTTCTCTGGAGCCACGGATTTCCCGATAGTTCCTAGCTTATATTCATTATATTCGATGAAAATAATGCTAAAAAGCAATTAATTTTTTCAATGTCAACCGTAACCATCGTTAAACCGAAAGTACAGAGAACCGAGTTGGTTGCTGCCCTTAAACTTACCAGAGTCCCAGAGAGAAGTACCAGAGTTTAACCCTCTTATTAAAAATTAGTGAATACCAACAGCCGATTCACATTTCTATCGCCGAGGGACTAACTACTTTTTACCATTTAAATTCAATTCAATTTTCAATTTGAAATACTCCAAATAAAATTCGGTTGCGTGATGGCGAACCAAACGAAGTTTCCACTTTCCACCGAAAATGATCCGAATTTGTGCGAGATGATACATTCGATTTCATTCGAATTATAGGGGCGGAAAAAGTTTTTTTATGGAAATAATTTGATGGATTTCGTCATAAATAATTTTTTTACGATTTTTTACGGAAATGTCTTCTTCGATTTTTTATTACAAATATTTATTTAAAAATTTTAATGAATTTCCAAGTTCGTTTCGATTGCAATCATTCAATTAATGGGATTTGTGCCAGGTTTTTTCCTTTTTTCTCTTTTAAATTTTTATTTATTTCTTTAAAATTTTATTATAAATTAAAATTTGTGGCTTATATAATTATAAATGGGCAATTTTTTAAGAAACAATTTCGATTTATTTATGATTTACCGCTTGGCAGTTTGCCAATTTTCTCCAGGCAGTATTCCGCATTTCTGGTTTGGTTCGCCCTAAAGTTTATTAGATTAGAAGAAGCAGTGTGTTTCAGCTCGTGAAGGAAATATGCCAGTCGGCTGTTCTGTCCGCAGCTACCAGCTCGTTAGATTTTATTTGTAGATCAGCTGCCAATTTGTTAATGGGACGTTTGCATTCTCACAATACTGCATCACTTTTTTGTTAAATAACTCTCACATTGCTGGTTAGACTCGTTTTTTTGGTGTCGCACTAGCAGATATGCCAGGAAGTCCATTGGAGATGGAAGTACAGGTAATTCGCCACCATAAAGCGGATTTTTGGGGACTTCTGAAGGGAATAGGACTTTAACATCGACATTGCGAATTGGACAAGAACCCACTCTGTTCTCGTTATATTATTGTATATTTATGCAGAAGTATGATATAAGTATAAGTAAAATAACGTTGCTGAAGTATTATTAAAAAGTATTCTTGATTTTATCAAATAATCTCTAAGTCCCATATTTTTTCTTCTTTCTAAGAGCGCCCCGCTCCTACCTGGCTTATCGAAGCGAAATTTTGCTAGAGAATCACTTGGTGAGAGGAATACTGAGTGTCGCCTACACTACTTGGACTTTTGACAGGTTTGTTCATGCCAAATTTCTCAGCTTCGTTGCTTCAAGCTGAATAACAGCCCACTGAGCCATTCATTCTATCATTTTTCGCTTGCATCGTTCAGCGACATTACCTGACGAAACGTGATGCGCGTTGACGCCGGATGCAAACGCGAGTTATTTTGATTAATTGAAATTCATCGATTCATCCTTTGAATCGTTACTTGTAGATTTGACGAAATAGATTTACAAAAAATACCTATAATTTTTTTATCTTATAACTTTCGTGAATTTCAGATGCGTTCTTCAAAAAACTTTCAATCTAACAACGGAAGAAACAACGCTTACTTTACAACCACAGCGTCTATCCTTCAATGGATTATTATCTATCGATACGGCGAATTACAATCAATCTGATTCTGATGAAAAACAAATTAATATAACAACAAATAATGAAAAAAAAAATATTAAGGATTTGCTCGATGAAAATGTTAGAAAATTTCAATATTTTTATATTTGCGATTTTAGAAAAAAAGAGAATTTGAAATTTCCTCTGTTTAATTTTTATTTTTTTTCAGATACCACAGAAAGTTTTATTTTCAATGTGTGATGATATGAAAGGTGAAATATTGGAAGAAAACAAAGAATTGCATGAATTAATGTCGAAATCAAATATTCAAACAACTGATATAATTGGTGGCGATATTTTAAACCATTCAACAAAAAATTCAAGTGGCGAAAATATTTTAACCTGTTCAACAAAAATTTCGACCATTTTAAAGATGAATGAGAGTGAGGAAGAAAGTTCCGCTTTGAAATCAGCTGAAGAGAAATTATCTGGTCAGAGTGAAGCATCATATTCAGCAAATATTTCTGATGAAGAAAATCGCAAATTTGATGGAAATGTTTGTTGCTTATATTTATTTTGAAGATTTTTCATTTTAAATTATGAAATCACCATGCAAACGAAAGATATTTATTTTATAAATTATTTTATTCGTTAAATTTAATTTGTCGAATTATTGTTTCTTTCTTTTTCTTTACTTTGCCTTGCGAAGGAATATTAATGATCCATTTTGTTTTCTAATTTTGGTATTTAGGTAAGCTTACTGGAAGAAAAAAGTCAAAGCTGGCTTCTGAGGCTTTTTAATTCCAGTTTGTTTGATATCGTAATTGCCATGGAATATCTGTTTAATTCGAAAGAGACTGGTGTGCTCAATTATCTCGGTTAATTCAATGTCATTGAAATGTTGCGATTTTAAATTAGTTCTAAATTATTTAGTTCATATTTTTCATTGATATACCATTCTTTTTTTTCATTTTCATTTTCTGACTTTAATTCATTTTTATCATTTAAAAGTTGTATTTTTTTAAGGGAATCGTTTGTTTGATTTCCAAGCAAGCTCGGTGGATTTTTATCTTCCACAGCTGATTAATATGTATATAAATATTAGAGAAGTAGCCGAAGTTATTCATCCTTATATTATCGAACGGTTTGTCTTTAATTTTTTTCAAACTTTTTTTTAAATTATGAAGAATAGAACTAATATAATGTTATAGAATTTTTTTGTTGGAATATTTTTGTTGAAATGGGAATATTTTTTAGTATAGTAAATCAATAAATTATTTCGTAAAACTTTTTGTTCTAAACGATAGCCAAAATTTCAAGAAAGAAATGATAATGGTGAACATGCGGTAAAAGTGAAAATGAAATCGTAAATGCGAATCGAATAGATTGAAGAATTGTGAAATTTTGTTGAAGAGGAGGTTATTAAATGTCCAGAAAAATTTCTTTATCGAATCTTTTTTAGTTGTCGGGAGAATGTGGAATTTTCACTGGAATGTTATTGGCTTCTGAATGCATATGGAGTTTCTAGTTTCAAAAAGAATAAATTGAAGTCTCAAGGGTATCGCCTACAACAGCTTATATTAAATGGATTACGATATGGCACAGATAATTTCAATGCTTTATCTCCAGAATCTCACTATTCAAATGGATTAAATTATGAAGAAAGATCGAAATCCGAAGCACGTATGTTTTTTTCATATTTTCTATATTTTTTTCTCATTCGTTTATAGAATGGATCAATTTCCGAGTGCCGATGCTGAGGTTCTATTCTCGTAGGAATAAACCTATGAAAATCCTGTTGATGCTGGCGACTCACCTTTTCTATTGCCGAGAGGTCTCTCTGGCATATTTGCCTAGTGCGACAAGACAGCGAAGCAAGCCTAACAACTAATGGTACTCTAAAAAAGGACGATAAAATTTTTGTTCTTAATTTTTATTAAGATTTATCGAATTTAAATTTGTTAAGTGTTTTTTCAGTTTTATTTAATTTTTGTTTAAAATAATATCGTGATCCTCTATTAGCAGTTAAATTAAATAATTTCAGAGTTATTAAATGTTTATAAAGAAGCCCAATCTCCTGCACCTTTAACAAATATGATTCGAAGAAGTGAAAGTTCCGATGGCATTAGTGGACTAGGAGATTTGACATCAGGTTTAAGGATTTCCTAGAAACTGAAGATCATTAGAACTAAAATTCCAAACTTTTTTCAAAAATTTCTTTTTTTTTAAATATTTTTGACGAAATTTCGTTTCCTTATAGTTCACTGGTTTTCCATTATAACTCTGGATATAATTCCTAACCACCAGAATTTTTCACTTCATATGAATTTATACAAGTGAATTTTATTATCTAATTTCAGGAAAAGCATTTGGCGATGGATGCGCATGTTTTGACGAAATAAACGTATGTTTAGAAGGTTTGCAAGAATCATACTTATCAGAATGTAAATGCAATGTATGTGTCTACTTTTTTTTGTAGTAATTGCTTATGTCACAATAAATTTCGTCTAAATTTCCAGATAGAATTTCAGTTCCAAAGAAATTCTGAATTTCTGAAAATATTTTTAAAATGAATTTTGAACTGAAATTAATATTGGAATTGCTTTAGATAGAACAGATTGGTCCGGAATTGGAATTCATCAAAGCATTAATGAACATTGGCCATAAATTGAAAGGAGTGGGATCAAAAGATGCTCGTAGTCAACTGCTTATCAATGAGTTAGTCATGGTCAATTTGAATTTACCTGCCCGCGTTTGGCTGCCTTTATACGCACGATCCATAAAACATATAGTACTGAGGATACCAAATACTGCAAGCTGTGTGTTAAATAGTAAAGATAAAGTAATTTTTTTTCATCTTTGTTAATTTTCCTTTGTAGTTTTTGAATTTTTTTTTTCACTAGAATTTTTTAATTTTTCATTATATATTTTATAGTTTATAGTTAGAATTTGATATATTTCACTTTAAGGTTTTAGTTATATTTTTGATATATTTATATTTATAGTTATATTTTTGGTGTATTTCACTTTAAGATTTTAGTTATATTTGGCTAAATGAATATATTCTCTTCGGTTTTTGTTTCTATTTGGTTAAACAATGAAAATTTTAACTCCTATTTTTATATTTTATCTATTTCGTGCTGTTTTCATGAGCATTATTGCGTTAATGTTGTCGATAGTTTTGAATTAAATTTATTTAGGCTCCATACTGCTTATTTGTCGAAGTGCTGGAAGTAGACAACATTTGTAAAGCCATGGTACCGAAACGAATTAGTGATATTGAAGCCGCGGAATACCAACGTCGAAAACGTAGAATTTCAAATGCTCAACAAAACTATACTTTGAATGAAGTAATTTTTTAAATTATTTTTGAGTTAAGTTATATTATTTTTAAATTTCTAAATTATGGACTGAATTTTTTCTTAGCCTTCTTTGTCAACTTTTTTTATATGAAATCGCGTTAATTGATCTGTTTTGATATTTTCAGCTTCCTTTGTGCTCGTTAAATCTAAATGAATCTATTTTAACAAATAATGAAACGTCACATTTATTTTCATCTGCTGAATCAAAAGAAAAAACTATTAATGCAGCTGATATTCGGCGACGATTATCAGATTGGGTTAAAAAACCAAAGCTTCAGGTATTGAGTTTCATTGTCAGTATATTTTTTTGAATTGCCACAGTTTTATTTTTGCTTATTTTCATTTATTTTATTTTATTTTCATTTGCTTTCAATTTAACGAAAAATTTATCTTTTCCATTTTTCATTCCTTTTTTCTAATATTCTTTGCCTTAGTATTAGTATTTAATTTTTATTATATTTTATTGCCTTAGTAAATTTTTCCAAACTTTTATTATATAGTTTATTATGACTTTTTATAAATTTGGGTCAAATTTTTAAAATAATTGCTTATCAGCTTAAACATATGCCCGATGATCCATCAGCTTCAACAATGAGCGAACCTTGGCTGGAAAAATTGCAACGTATACGTGATTCATCCCCATATGGTCGTCATCCGAAATGGAAATTATTGCCAGTGATCATAAAAACTGGTGACGATTTAAGACAAGAACTTCTGGCCTATCAACTTCTAACAACACTCCATGTGAGCTCCTGTATCATTATTAAATAATATCATATAGCATTATGATTTTAATCAACAGTTTTTATTTTAAGTTGTTTAAAATATTCATTTCCCTTCTAGAATATCTGGATTGAAGAAAAGGTTCCACTTTATCTTCGTCCTTATAAGATTATCGTATGCTCTTCAAATTCTGGAATGATTGAACCTATTGTAAATGCGTGTTCACTGCATCAGGTATACATTTTTTCAAAATGAATTCCATAAATTTTTTCTCAACTTTAACAATACAATTCTATTGGTTTTTCGCGAAAATATAAGGAAATTTTGCGATGAACATATATTTTCTAGCTTAATAATGAGTAATTTTAAGCTGATTGTGAATCTTTTTTAAACTGATTATAAATGAGAAAGATTTTATGGGAAATGGCGTATTATGAAAAAAGTACATGTATATACATATATAAGTACATGTACACTTAAATATTTTGTGAATGTAAATAATTTATTAAAAATATGTATTATATATAATATATATGTGTAAATATATTATATATATATTTTCGTCAGTTGAAATAGATTTTTATAGATAAAAAAGAATTTAGCAGTTCATGCTATGGGAAATTCATCTTCGGAAGCTTCACATCCAACGTTGCTTACTCATTTTCTTGGTAATTTCGGTGTTATGCATGGAGAATCTTTTTTGATCGCTCAACAAAATTTTGTTGAAAGTTGTGCTGGATACAGTCTTGCCTGTTATTTCCTTCAAGTAAAGGATAGGTAGATAATTCATATTTTTTTTTCATTCAATATTTCCTCTACTGATTTGTTTTTAAATTTGTTTGATATTTGGTGAATTCTTTGTTATTTATTTTTTTATATATATTATGTATTCATTTGTATATATATATATATATATATATATATTCATATTTATATTATATTTTTAGGCACAATGGTAATATATTGTTGGATTCTGAAGGCCATTTGATACATATCGATTTTGGTTATATTTTATCAATTTCTCCTCGAAATCTCGGTTTTGAGACTTCACCATTTAAACTTACGCAAGAGCTAATAGATGTAATGGGCGGAATCGGTAGTGATATGTTTGAATATTATAAAATTTTACTATTGCGAGGTTTAATTGCTGCAAGAAAACATCACGATCGTATTGTTAATATTGTTGATATCATGATAGCTGGTGAGCGATTTGCGATTTTTTTATTTTTTAAAATTTAAGATTTTAGAGAAAAAGCAAAATTTGATTATTTTCTTTCATCAGAAATCTTCGTTCTTCTTTCTACTAAAAATGGAGTTTTAAATAACCACAAAAAAAATTTTTCAAAATAAAGGAAATTATGGAATAGTATAGATAGCTGAAAGTAATAGAGTAGTGAAAACTCAAGAAATAACTGAAAATTAAATTATTTATTTCTAGGGTCACAGTTGCCATGTTTTCGTGGTGGTGCAAATACAATAAAAGCCCTTAAAAATCGTTTTCATATGGGTTATACAGAGCAGCAGTTGCAAGAGCTTGTGGAAGCTTTGGTTGAACAAAGCAGGGATTCAATAACAACTCGACTATATGATAATTATCAATATTTCAGTAATGGTATATTGTGAACGGGTTTTGCTTCAAAGTCTTTTCATTAGTTAAATTAAATGTAATTTCAATGCTGAATCGAATACTTTTAGACTATTGGTGCAGCAAATGGGCTGAAACGATTTTCTTGATAAAATTTGATTTAGTTTTTTCATTTCATTTTAAGTTTTTTTATGAGTAATGACAGATTAATAGAAGGTAATAATATTTTATATTATCAATTTGTAAAAAAAATGTTTTTATATAAGTCGAATGTGATCATCTAATTTTTTTAAAAATATATTCCAATATTTTCGTGAAAATTATAGATTTAAATTTGTTTATAAAATTATGAATAATTGCGATCATAAAAATTGGCACTGATTTTGTCATATATTCTCGCTTATTTTACTCTGTTTTAATCCATTTCTTTGGCTTCGTTTTTTGTGCTGTATATGATAGCGTTAATTTTTATTCATTGTGAAATTCAGTGAATTTCACATGTGTACTAAGTATTAAGTATCTATTTTAATTTGTCAATATTTTAATGATATAGATAATCAAACTTTAAACGTTTAGTTCCTATTACAAATCAGTTCATCATTTGGTTATTATCATCATCATGTTGGTATGTGGGTATTTTCTATTTTGCTAGTCTTATAATATTACTTTCAGTTGATGCTTATTTTCATGCTTTTAGTAGTTTTTTTATATTTGCATATTTATTGCTTTTACTTTTAATTCTTTTTGTGTTTTCATATTTATTGCTTTTTTCGATTGTAAATTTTTTTGATCTGTTTATGAACATATTTATTTATTATTTACTGATGCTATGTGAAATTTATTTATGATTTTTTTGAAATATAATTTTCGATTATTTGAAGTTATTTCAAATATTGTATCATCTGTTTGCTTAACGGTGCCAGAAATTTCTTTTTACGTGTTTCAATTTAAGCTGGTGGTTCTATTTGCTCACTTAATGTAATATGTACTGTAAAATTTTTGGTGTAATATTGATCTTTTACAGTCTAGTTTCTTCAATTAAATATATTTTAATATTTTCATGAACCATTAATTATTTGTTTATTTTTTAAAGATTTAAGCTCAGAATTACTTGAAAACTTTGAAATATTAGAGATGATATTGGTGGCCGATTTAAAATCGTGGAACGTTTTGCAGGTGACTGATGAGAAAAAAATTTGTAGGGCAGAATCATTTTTCAAAGAGAATCATTTTAGCCAATGGAATGAAAAGAATATTCGTGAGTCAGATTCGGCTGAGCTTTCGTTAATTTTTTTGGCAGTCAGTTAATAGCTAATGGAGGATTGCCGATGTTGTTGGGTCATTTTGTGTGTCTGTTGGTGCAAAGAGTGGTTCTCATATAAATTTTTCTTCTATAAATTTTTGTAAGATTTCAGGAAAATGCTGAAACTTAGTCGACGAGATTTTATTGAAACAACTCTTTTCGATGATGGAAAAATTTTGACAATAAATTCGTTAAGTCGACATGCAGATATATCCATTGATGAAGCTAATGAGTTGGTGTATTTCGTTTCATTTATTATTTACAGATCGATGCCGAATAACGAGAATACCATTTTATATCATAGTTCACTGAAGTGTTGTCGATTTCCACAGGGTTTTCTATTCAATTGTGAATATGGTTCTTGTGTTGTTTGGTCTGGAAGCGCCTTGCGGCAAAAGTTTCATTCTCGTCCCACAATAAAAGTATTTATAATAGGATTAGAATTAGTTAGAACTAAAATTTGAAAAATAACATTGCAAAACTAAAGGAATAAAATGGCATGATTTTAAGTCCTTTTAGAGATTAATATTGCATGTTTTCATCTTCAGTGATATTTTCTTGCCTAAAGCAACTCTCAACTTGAACGAATATTTCAGTGAATTAAAAAATTTCTACGAGGAAAATAAAGATAAGGCTAATTTATATGTAGTCTATGTTGTCAGCGGTACAATGTGTTCCAACAGTAAGAAATATTCGCCTTCCTTTTATCGGAGAGTGCAGCTTGTAAGAGGAGAAAATTTGGACAAAATTAAGGCTCTTTATGATTCAGTGGATACTTGTGAAATTTTTTGTCTTCATACGAAAAAAATTAAGGTTGCTTCACATTTTCTAATTTTATCTGATTTTCTAATTATCTAAAGTAGTCGCATTTTTTTCCTTAGAGATTTTCGTGCTTCCTAAGTAAACTTGGTGAAAATTTGTTTTGCAGAGTTTATATAGCATTTATTGTGTCGACCGTCTTGACGACGATGAATTTATTCAAACCGATCCAGAGCGGAGTTGGATAACTTGCCCTGTAGCTCAAATAAAACGTGCTGAAATGCTTGAAAAGTATGCTCAAATAAGTGCAGAATCGAGCCAGAAATCAGAATTGGTATTTTTTTACTTATTGGTAATATAATGTATAAATCTTCTATGAATTTTTCTTATCTGCCTGATCGCTCTTGAATGGATTTTAATCTATTCCACGTTCTTCCTGGAAATCTTTTTTAGGAAAAAAATGATTCATCGAAAGCACAGCATTCGTGTTATTCAAAAACAAATAGTCTAGATACATTATTTGCGAAAGCAGTTACCAATAAAAAGGCAATTCATGAATTTGCATTTTTATTTAAAATTTTTTTTTCATTTTATTAAATTGGTGCTTTCATAATGGTGGAAATTAAAAGAGAATAAAAAATTATCCTTGAACAATTTCCTTTCTTTTTTTGATAAATGAGTTTTTTGTGGTAAACTTTTCTTGCTTATTTATTATAAATGATAGCCCTATAATATTTGACTTTAGAATTGGTAGAGGACATTACAAACTTTTCAGCTTTCTTTTGAATAACCTTTGAGTTTTTTGTTGGAAGGCTTTCCTGGCTTTTTTATTAACAGTATTATAGGAAAATACAGCTGAAAATAGTCAGTGCAATTTGGATATAGATATGGATGATGGAAAGGAGCAAAAGATCAACGAAATAAAATCGAGTGAAAAGTAAATCTTATTTCCAAATGTGAAAAATATTTATATAAATGTATATAAATATATATTTATATACATTTCCACCTTTTTTTCTCTGAATGGAGTCATATTTAATGGTGTCTAAAGATGTTCCAGTGTCGCCGGTATGCGGTCTATTGCAGCCTGTATTGTGAATCAACCTGTATTGTGAATTCTTTTGTAGTTCTTTTCATACCATATTTTATCTATAGAATTTAGTTCACCTAATATAGATGATTTAGAAATATATAATAGATTAATCCCATTTTAATGGATTATAAACACAGAAAATATTAACATTAATAACTTTTTTAATTAATATAAATGCGATATATACAATCGATTATACTTTATGTATATATATATATATATATATACATATCTAAATTTTGCATATCTTGTTAATCATGAATGATTTCTAGATAAATCAGTGGTTAGAGAATTATTTATAGGGAATTGTTCAGGAGTCGTGGTAGTCGTATATATGTTGATGAAGAAATTTCGGAGGGAGCTGAGAATCAATTGGCGAAATTAAATGGTAATAAAAAAATATCCGACAAGAACAGAAATAAAGAACAATCAAGCGGAGATTCGCAATTATTGGGAATGAACGATTCGAAATCGACAAAATTGGAAAAAGAAAGGCCAAAACCATTAGATTTATGTTTGTTTCAAATTTCTAGATATATAGTTCAATGTTTGAGTTTAATTCAAGTTTCAAATTTCGAAGTTTACTTTTTCAGCTCAGAGAGATTTATTTTCTGATGGGCTTTCGAGTCCAGAATTTATGGATTTCGAGGAGGAACCAGAGTCGCAGCCTGTTAGCCCACTACCAAAAAAATCGCGTCCATCAGGTTTTTCAATCTCATTTTTCATCTTTTTAATATTTTCCATAATAATATTAATATCTTCCTTTTATTCTCGTTAAGCCATACTTATTTATAGTAAGCGCAAAATTTTTTAATCGTTTTTTTTAAAATTATTTAATGGTATATTAAAAATATATTTTAGCTTGTAAATCTTTGTCCGAAAAATCTCGAGAAGTTGATAATCCATTTGAGAAAGAACGAATAATTACGAGAAAACAATATGTAATGGAAACATTTCTGGATGATGAAGGCTTTCTAGGTTCGAAAACTTGCTGTTTTTAGAATGAGAATATAATCATGCCGATATTATATATTACTTAATAATTTCGTGAGTTCTGGAGAGTTATTTATGGATAATCGGTTATAATCGGTTTGCAGAAATAATTTAAGGAATAAATTAGCTGGTAAACAAGCGCTTTTCAAAGCAATTTTCTTAAAATTTTTTATAGCAAACAAGTTCATTGAATTTGAATTTTTCAGTCACGAAACAAGTGCCTAAAGAAATAGAAATTCGATGCAAGGATGAAGGAAATGACCTTATTGCACCTTCAAGTGCTAGAAATGCGCAAGATTTGGTGCTCAACAAGAAGTTGCTTGCAACCAAAAGTGCCCAATCAAAGGTCCAATCAAAAATTAGTAATTTCTTCAAGAAAAAGTGAAATCATCAATGATAAATCAATGATAATATTTCTTTTGAGAATCTCTTCTTTTCCTATTAGCAATAACTGGTTTAACTGACTCGAATCGCTTTGAATTAGTTTCAGTTTTAAAATGATAAATTTCTCATCGAAAGCAGTCAGATTTTTGATGGCTTGACTTTAACGGAGCAATGTTCTTGTAGTACTAAATGATTAATTTATAGAAAAATTTCAAATATTCTCAAATTACCTTTAGAATTTTACTTCTTGCATCGTTTGTATCGTTTTTATTTTGCTGTTTTATTATTTTCTGTAATAAAATACAAAATATTGTTTTCAGTGGAATATAATTGTTTTACAATTAGTATTTTTTTGATTTTATTAAATTTATCTTACTACTACTGAATTATCATTGATAGTCGAATATAATATACTTCCAAAAGCTCTTCATAGGAGCGGAGATTAATTGTTTGCTGGAAATTGAGCGGATGGATCATTTGTAAGGCATGGCCTTATCAGCAAATTGATACGCGCTAATTAATGATTAGATTTTTTACTGTTTCTAGTTAGGTCGCCTCCATTAGCTATTGGAAACTTTTACTTGGGAATTGCCAACAATAAGTGCATATCTACCAGCACCACTATAATGATTTATTCTTATCCAGCGCTGGAGCAGCTTCCTTTCATGAGACTGCGATAATCTAAGGCTTTATGCGATGAATTAGATAAATTGATAAATAGTGTGGTGTTCGTTTCTTTAGATTCGTTTGATTTGATTTCTTTCTTATCGTTTTAATTTTTTGTGTGCCTAATATTTACATTTCTTTAAGGCTGTCGGTTGTTATCAGGTTGTTCTTCACATTTTTTATCATATTTCACCAATTATTATAGAGCGAATTTGTAGAGAATGTCGAATGCATTGGTTATCAATATGGTTAGTTAGCAAGATGATGTATATTCTTAACGATACATCACATTTCTTATCATATTTCATCAATTCTTATAGAGCAAATTTGTAGAAAATATCGAATGCATTGGTTATCAATAAGGTTATCAATTAGCAAGCAAGATGATATATGCTTTAATAAGGCTTTAAATTGCAGTATTTCTGAAATTTACTTGTCAAGAGATAGTCTCTTGACAAGTAAATTTATTCATAAAAGTGGAACTCGTGTGGTTGGTGTTGTCCATCTGCTATCGTTCGATTTTTTCTCATGTCCTTGCCTCTTAATTTTATTCCTGGCATAGATCCTTTTGTTCTTAATGATATTTTCCGAAAAAGTACTAAACAATGAATAACTCAACTGAACAGAAGTTGTTTTATAAATTCGTTTTTATTAAAATAGGCTGATAATCCAATTAGAAGTTGTCAGATGAGTAAATAGGCAAAAAATTCCTCGTAAAAGAACTAAAGTATGATAGAGAATGATAGAAAAAAATTAAGGAAATTTTTAATCAATCGAAATTATTATTATTAATTATTATGGCCTAGTGGGTTGATGCTCAATTCGTGGTGCTGATGCTGAGGCTTTATTCCTCACAGGAATGAACCTGTGCAAAAATACGGGTGATGCTGGCGACTCATCTCCATTTCTATCGCAAGGGGACTCCTTGGTATATTTGTCTAGTGAACCAGCGGAGCGAGTTTAACCAGTAATGAGGCTTCTTAAAAAAAAATTGTTAATTGTTATTATTGTTTTTATTGTTTATTGTTTATCATTGTCATTATTTATCATTATTAATTATTATTATTACTACCATTATTATCATTATATTGTTGTTAATTATTATCACTATTATTAATTATTATTACGTTATGTTATTATATTATTATTTATTATTTTTTTTATTATGTTAATTACTATTAATAATAATTAACAATAATCATTATTATTATTTATTTATTATATTATTATTAATTTCAATCAGTTATTGTCATCATTACTATTATTAATATTATTACTATTATAATATTATTGTTTTTATTATTATTAGTGATTATTGTATTATAATTTTATTCATATTAATTTTATATCATATTAATTATTATAATTCGTGCAAATTTCAGTATGTTTAAAGATTTACCGTAATATTTTGAATAAACAAATATTTCGAACAATTTTTTCAAAAAAATAAAAAATTGCCTTTGCAGTCTTTTGTTGCTAAAAATAATAAAATAATTTCCTGTTTTTGATAATCTCTTTTTTTTTATTAGTCTTCGTAATCAGTGACGTGACGAAGACGTCATTCTAGAAATCAGCCAAACCAGAAATGATGGCGCAAAAACGCATATTGCAAAAAACAAGGGTTTACATACTAAAAAAGTTTTTCGTTCGGAGTGTGTTCGTTTAATTTTGAGCCAAATTTGATTCTTCAAATTTGTTTAGAGAATGAAAAGCGTGTTAGAATGCTTTTGTAAACTCGTTTTTTGTATTTTTTGCAAATTATTGCTGTTCAAGCGATTTTATTTAAATTATTATTTTATATTTGCAGATTTTAAGGAATTCTTCTTCTCGGCGATTTTGTAGTTCGCCTTATTCGCCATATTTTAAGTTGAAATCTATCGGCAGTTTTAGTTCCATTCGATTGTTGGCACTCATGGCAAATCAAGAACCGACAAACATTTTGTATCAGGTACGGCGCTGAAAATTCTTAAAAAAGCATCAAACGAGATTTGAGATTCTCGTTAAGGCTTTATTTGGATGTGCCCGTCAGCATTCGCAGGAGTGAGGCTGTCCAAAAATCCAGGCGATCTAGCGACTCACCTGTGCTTCTATCGCCGTGGGACTAGCATACTTGTCCAGTGCGGTAAGCCAATGGAGTGGTTCTATCCAGTAATGGTGTGGGTTCTTAAAAAAAATACCAATCAGCATTAATTATTATGGTTTGAAAGTCTACTTAGGTCTATTTAAACGAGTAAATTTTTTACCCAGTTTTTTCATTACAAGCATTAGATACGGGAAAATAAAGTTTTGCTTCTGTTGTTTCTTTATCTCTAATTTCAAAGAGGACTCTCACAGCGTTATTCATGAGATCACCTAAGCCGGAGGTTGGAAGATATTTTCAAAATTTTCTATCCACGTGCTCCACTAGATGATGCATAAATCCATGGACTACCAGTGCAATATTTTCGAAGTTTTAAACTTTTGAAAAGTATTTGTAAAGATTATTTCTCATTAAAGGGTTTTAAGGAGTGAAAAATCATTAAAAATGATTTATTATCAATGAAATGAGATAGAATATGTAATTCGAATTTGGTTCCTCGGAACAATTCTAAAAGTCCCTTGAGAGTCGCCATTGACACCAAGGCATCCAATTTGATTAAATTATATTCCCGAGCTCCACTATTAATTTAATTCCATAATATTCCACATTTTATTACAATTTCTTGTCTAATATTTCTTTGAAATTTATTGTTTTTACAAAATCTTATTAATTATATTATTTTTGATAAACATGGAACTTAATCCTCCTGGTTGTTATTGAATACATAAATAAGTACGATTCATAGCAGAAATGGTGAGCTATATGAGGAATTGGTCTATTTTTTGACTCTTTCTGGATTCTTTATTTTGATTCTTTTTTTATTTAGTATGATAATATGATTGACGAATCAAACTAACCGTCTATTTCAAATTCCATTCAAAATAGCCCATTAGTAACCCTTATTATCAATCATTTGTACTCTTCGGTGCCGAAATAAGGTCGGCACGTCCTATCACATCAATCAGTATAGTGTGAAAGGAGCGATATAAAACGCTGTTTTTTGAGGAAATAGTCAAAATAATCGTAAGAATCGTAACTGAAATAGTTAATTAGGTGAAACATAGATATTTTAAAGATTTTCAGGATGCAATAACAAAATTAAATTCTATTCATAATAGCAAATTTGTGGTGCGTCAAAAGGATAACGGTCATATCAAATGGATGCTTGAATTTTTGAAGCGGTGTAATATTCAAGTAAAAACTTTTATTGCATTTCATGAACAAAACATATTATCCATAATCCATCATTCCAAAATATCCATCCTTCGACAGATCTTTGTTAATTTTCATAATATTTTTTAAGGTTGAAAATCTTGATCGCCTCAATATAATTCATGTAAGCGGTACAAAAGGCAAAGGATCGACATGTGCTTTTGTTGAAATAATTTTAAGGAGACTTGGTTATAAGACTGGTTTCTACAGGTGCTATAGCAATGAATTTTCGCATTTTCAAATTTTCGAAATTTTTCCTATTCGTTCATCACTATTAAAATTAGCAATTTTGAGAAATTCATCGTTTTTCAGTTCTCCTCACCTAATGAATGTCCGAGAGCGTATACGAATTAACGGCACTCCTATTTCCGAATCTACTTTTGCTCAGTGTTTTTTGAAAATTTATGGGCTTCTTCAAAAGGCTGTAATTCTTAAAAAATAATTTGGAAATAATTTAAATATTTTATAAAATTGTTAGTTAATTGTTAAGTGCTAAAAAAAGTTGGAACATCCTAATGAGCTGTTCAAGCGGCAAAGTCAGTCTTTCATCAGGTTTTAGGGAGACGAAATGCCCATATATTTTTCTTTGCTAACAATAATGGCATTTCATATTTTTATGAAAGAAAATGTGGATGTGGCTATAATAGAAGTTGGAATTGGTGGCGAGTATGATTGTACTAATGTCATATTGTAAGTCTGTTTGTTAATTCTTCCATAATTATTCACGATAGGTGTAACAGCACACACCTTTGTCTCCAATGACTCTTTGGTAAATGAATCATATTTTGATAGTCAAGAGAGATAGCCAAGCCAGAAGTGCTGTGCAATATTGGTAATGGAAAAAAAAACTTTCTGCATTCGATGACTGCATTAAATATATTGCTGGCTAAGAGATGATTTGATGAAATAATAAGCAATGCTCTAGAAATCCTGTAGTTTGTGGAATAACCAGACTGGATTTGGACCATACTTCTATTCTGGGCAATACGATTGAATCGATCGCTTGGCATAAAGCTGGAATATTTAAGCCGTTTTCTTTTGCTGTTGCAAGTAATTGTTCTGATAAGGTATTAAATATCATGAAGTCTCGCGCTACCGAAAAAAAGGTCTTTTTTATTTACCAAATTAAGTAAACGTTTTTTTTTCATAATTGAAATTTTGACTAGATAGGTGAATTAAAGTAAATAAAGTAATTTAAAAGTTTTTTAATCTAGAAGTTTTTAATATTCCTTCATTTTCTAAGAAGGCATAACACTTCTCGTTTGGCCAAATCAATTAATTTGTGAAGCTTCGCTTGACGATAGAAATATAATTGGGTCCTCAGGAGCAATTCGAATATTAGATTCATCAAGTAAACCATCAAGCCTATTGTCAGTGAGGCGCTTGCGGGTGAAAGTGCAAATGGGTCCACAGCAGCAGTTGGAATATTTCATTTGCATACATTTTATTTTTTCCTTCACATATAACATTTCATTTTAAAATCAGTTGCTTAATTTTCCTTCCTTTTTAATTTTTATCATTTATAGTGTACTTTTCGCCTTGCTCCTCGTTTTGAACAATATCACTGGCCTTCTGATTTTATTGAAATGGGCATTGCTGGTGAATATCAGCGTTCGAATGTTTCACTAGCGATGCAACTCGCAGTGTTGTGGCTAAAACGAACAAAAAACATTGGTTAGCTAGTTTGATAAATTGGCAATTTTTTTTTAGAAAATCCAGATTTTGTAATGATTTTTTATCGAAAAGATTGTTTTGAATTATTTTTCTAAGAAAAATTTTTTAGAAATCATTTTTTCGATACAATTTCACTACAAGAAAATCGAAACAAGACCATTTGTCCATTTCTTTATGGCGTTCATTTCAAATGTGATTATCTGCAATGGGGGCCACACTGGTTTTTAAAAGCTATGAAAAGCTAACCGTATGAGCTCATTCATAGTGAAGTCTCTTTCTTATCTTCAGCCAGCTCTGAATTCGAAAATTATTATATAGTTGGAGATGGAATGGCTTAGTGGGTTGTTGCTCAGTTGGGAGCGCCGATGCTGAGGTTCGATTCCCCGCAGGGTTAAACCTGTATAAAAATCCGGATGATGCTGGTGTATTTCTATCATCAAGGGACTCCCTATTGGCATATTGTTCAATGCGAACCAGTGTGATGAGTTTTACCAGTAATGGTGAGGACTCATAAAAGAAAAAGTTGGAAAGTAGTGCCATAGTTTTGGACAGTGTCGAAAATTCCTTTATTCATAATTCGCATCATGTGGTGTATTGATTGCCATTGGGAATAGAGGCTTTGGTTGGAATCCGCCGAAACACCGCTCTTCGTCAAGCAGTGTTGCCTAACAAATAACAAAAGGCGAATTACAAAAGAGAGTGGAATGTATCGATTACCGATACTGATGTTGAGGTTCTATTCCCGACAAAGCTTGTCCAAAACCAGGTAATGCTGGCGACTCACCTATACTTCTATCGCCAAGGGATTTCCTGGAATATTTGTTTAAAAGCTATGAAAAGCTAACCAACAAGCTGGAGGAGCGAGTCTAACCAGTAATGGTGAGTGCTCTTAAAAAAAATACTGTGGCAATTATCTTTTCTTCCTTATTCTGTTCTCTAATTTTCTTATTTTTGTTCTCTTTCCAATCTTTCAATAGTTGTGTGATTTATATGGTTCCTACTTTTTCCAGAAAATATGCCTGCATTGTCTGGACATCTAGAATCGTACTCATTGGACGAATTAACTTTGCCCGGATTTTCTGTTCCAGTCAATTTCCTAGATGCATTGCGATCGTGTAAATGGCCAGGAAGGAGTCAGATTTTACGAAAAGGTTCTGTAGTCTATTGCTTAGATGGAGCGCATACTTTGAAAAGTATGGAGGTGAGAGTTATTCAATGCAACTAGGAGAGAAATTTTAAATAATGCCTTTTTTCAAGGTTATGCCAAATATATTAAAACAATCTGCAATAAAATAGAATATTGATGGAAAAATTATTTCTTCTAAAAATTTTGTTATAATTTTTAGAGCTGCGTATCATGGTTTCTATTCGAACGAAAATCGTCTAAGCGAATTTCGACTTTTCGTCCTTATCGAATTCTTTTATTTCACTGCACAGGAGAGCGAAATCCTGCGGTTCTTTTACGTCGTTTATCGGTGATTTTTTAAAATTTGTCAATTAATTTTGGTTCATTAATTTACTTAAAAAAGCGACAGTAGTGTTTCATTGTTGGATTAATTATGCAACGAAATCGTTTTTCTTTTCGCGGAATTCCATTCAAATAATTTCAAATAATAATAAATAATATTTATCCATATTTCATATTTTTATTTTTATGATTTTATAAATGCAAATTATTCAAATGAAACGAGGAACAAATTTTGTGCGTAATTTCGCTGTTTTTTTTTTTCAAACTCCGGAAATCTTTGAATCGAAATTACCTGAATTATTTACCTGAAATATATAATAGCTAATATAAAATAAAGTGATCATCATAAAGTAGCCACTTTCTATTTCTTATCATCTAAGATTATTCATTGTTAACTGCTTCTGGTTCACTGCTCTTCACCAGAGAGTCATTTGGGAAGAGAAGTTTTCCAAGCATTTCCATCAAATTTAATTTTAAATGGCAGCTTTCGTCAAAGAAGAAACGAAGCTGTGATAGATTCGTAGTACAGCATTCTAATCAGTAATACTCTAAATTTCTCCTTCTAAAAGTTTGTATTATTTATGATTTGGCCGGTTCCATTTAATACTAGGATGAAACATTTATATGATCTTTCCGCCAAAAAATCTCTTAGTTATAAGTCAGCTTATAGATTTAGTTTAATGATGGCATTGTCACTCTCTACTGGTCGAATTAAACGCTACATACGATTCAACTCGTTGCAATTTTCGTCGCAATTTAGATTTAATCTTGAATTCAGCCACAGAGTTGATGGACTATCATTTTTTAGATATGTGACTTCGATTTGGCCATTTTTTGTCCCGTGAAAATATATAAAGACGCGGATGCCGCGGATCGTGCGTGGTTACCCAGTGATGACGAGTTGTTGAAAAAGATCGTTGGTGATCGGAGCATTTGGTCAAATATAGTTGGCAAAGTCTCTTTTATTACCTAAAATTCAGAGCTTCTCTTCTTTTATGAAAATATTACCAATTAAATGCACTAAATATTATCGAAAATGCCACCTTTGAACATTTAAACATTTCTCAGCTTAAATTTCCCCTATCGAACTGTACATTTTTATGGTTAAAACACTGGTTAGAGGAACAATTTTATCAATTTTGCAGGACAAACCTGGCGAAATACATAATTGCATTCAAGACGCTATCATTTCTATTGAAAACAAAGCGCTGGATAAAGGTGAAGTAGAAGTTTTAGTAACTGGAAGTTTATATCTTGTTGGTGGCGTACTTCGTCTGCTGAATTTTCAAGAATAGTCAGTTTTAGTTTTTTACGATAGTTGGTTTCTAAGTGGAATTTTTCCTATAAATAATTGTTTTATTTTTAGATTATTTAAAATTTATAGATGAATTTCGTCTTTATGAGTATATAATGGATAATGGTTTCCATCAATGTGAGTTCTTGCTTTCTATTTCTTGCTTTTGATTTCGAAAAATCGAGTGATTTGAAAATGTAAAAAAACTCTATTCTTATATCTTCTCGAGATTTTGTTCATTCAATTTTTTTGATTTATAACAAAAATTATGAGTACTGCCAGAAAAGATAAAAATTTAACAATATAATGACCAGTAAATGCTTATTAATTAATCATATAGTGATTTGTTATTTCACTGTATTTTTATTGCAGGTTCATTCATTCTTTCATTTATCAATTATTTTCTTTATTTATCATAATTTTGTTAGATTTGTCATTTTTTTTCTCACTTTCACTGATGTTATACGAGATTTATTGCTAAAAAACGAGGAGATCTCAGTTTTTTTTGACTTATTTGGTATATAAAATGGAAACATATTTGCTTGAAACATATTTTTTAAAATCTTCTGAGATCTTTTCAAGCAATGATTACTTTTATTATTTACTTTTATTTGCTCACTATTATTTTTCACTTTTATTTGCTCAGTTTGATACTTTTTAATTAAATATTAACATAAACATTTATTAATATTAATATTATTATTACTTCAGTTTTAAGAAATATTATTTGTTATACGGGAAACGATAAACAAATTTTATAATTAATAATAAATTTTATAATTTTTACATCGAATATTTCAATATCCATTAAAATTATAGTACCTCTTCTTTGTGAATGGTGCATGTTGATGCATGAACGTGAAATGATTGCTTCTATACGCATCTGTGGAACTAATTAATTAATCAGTTCATTGTTTTTTAATGTTGCATGATATTATGTGTGCAAAAATTTATTCTTTAGCAAAAAAATCGAATAATTCAGATAAAGAAAGAGGTGTGGTGGTGTTTTTTTAAAATTTCTAAGTTTCTGGATTAAGGCATATTTTCTTGGAATTCATGGTAATTCTTCTTCTTCTACCAGCTTCAACCACTCCTGGTTAGGCTGGCTGCAACGGCTACAAGGATAAAACGCTTCCAAACGGCGCGGTCTGATACCATCGTCGACAGCAATAGAAACTATTTCTTTTTCCATCCTCGAAGTCCATATATTGCTGGCCCACCTATACGTTCAAAATCTTTCCTTTTGACGCCATCCATAACATGGTTTAGCAAGTAACGAAATATGCGACAATTCTTGTGGTTGACGACGGAGTACGTGCCACCGAAGGCGATGCTTTATGATGACATTATTAATACAGGTAGTGTTTGAATGAAGGTGAACGGACCCGTAAAATATACTTAGGCAAGAGTGGTCAGAGGTATATAGCTTCTTAATATCCTCCACTCTCACTGACCATGTCTGAAGTGGCAAGATCGAATCACGACTATATAGATGCGGACTTTTGTTTTAATGGTAATTTCAGACGGCTTCATAAAGGCTTCGTCAACCGGAAGAACGTATTTCTAGCTGCCGTGATCTGGACTATAATATCGTCTTTTGCCTGTCCATTTGGTGTTAGAGTAGAACCAAGGTATTTAAAATCGGACACTTCCTCGACCGACAATGAATTAACAAAAAGAGACATTTTATCAACTTCTTGTATATAAGACGAAAAGACTCGTTTTGTATACATTGACCCTGAGTTCTATTCTTGCTGTAGTTTCTGACATGTTATTTAGCATACTTACATTTCGTCATAACTGTCAGCAAAAAGGACTACATCATCAGCGTATTCAAGATCTGTGATACGATGCTCTGGACTAATTTGAACACCTCTTGAGTGTCGACAAGCTGTGTCCATTATCCAGTCCATCGCATAGTTGAATACTGTAGCGAAAAGGACGGACACTACTTCTTATTTCGAAGGAATCTGTCAACTCCCCATATACACAGACTTGAACCGACATGCGCTCATAAAATCCTTTTATAAATCGAATGATCTTCTCTGGAACACCGTCGTGTTCCATCATTTTCCAAAGCTTTGTCAACTGAGTCTAAAGCAGCTGTAAAGTCGATGAAACACGTGGCAGTGGGTTGCAAATATCTGAAGCGGATATTCCAACTTCTTTCTTAACGTGAATATCTAGTCAGTACAACCGCGCTCCGGTCTAAATCCAGTTTGATTAGGGCTCATCCTATCTCGTACTTTCATAAATCTGTTGAGTAAAAAGGAAGCAAAAATTTTCACTGAAACGTCTAGTAAGCTGATTCCTCGATAATACGTCCTATCACAGTACGTGCTATCATTTTTCTTGAGAATTGGGAGCAGAATTGCTTTGCTCCAGTCATCTGGTAATATTTCTTTCTCTCATACCAGAGAGTACATTTACTGAAGGTGTTTTATGAAGGACGATGGACAACATTTAAAAAGTTCAGCCCGAAGGCCATCTTTTCCCGGAGACTTATCGGCCTTAAGCTTATGGATAACAGATATTATTTCTTCTTCTGTCGCGACTTGCAGTTGCAAGCATATGGTTCAGTGAACGTATTAGTTAGTTATATCAAGTGCAACAGATGGCGCTTAATGGTTAAGTTTGGCCTCAAAGAATTCTTTCCATCTTATGAGGCGGTCCTTAATATTCTTGACTAGCACGCCATTGCTATCTTTTACCATTTCACCGATCGTTCCTCGAATTATAGTTGCTTTATGAAGAAGACGGAATAGTTTCCTATTATCGCCTAATCGAGCTGCTGCCTCCATTCTTGACTCGCTCCAATAGTGATTTCTATCCCGCCGTGCTGCTTTCGTTGTAAATCTTCGAAGCATTCTGTAGTCAGGATTTGACATTCGTGCTTTGGCAGTTTTTTAGACAGTTGGATATTTGCTTCCGATACCCAACTACCACACCTCCTACCAGCGTGGAAGACTTTCGGAGACATTCCTTTTGTTTGGACCAGTATTCATTTGCCGTTCTAGAAAAATCATTGATATTTGTATCACTGAGATGCTTCAGTAATTCAGTTTATACGCTCACTGTCTCCGAATTTTTTGAAAAAATTTTGCGGTATTTGAAGGATCGTGTGGGGTACTGTTTTCTGCGAGTTGTCAGTTTTATGTGGATCTTGGCTCGAACCATAACATGGTCAGATCCATGAAGATTGCACGTTTCAGTGTCGTAATAGGAACGGATATCTAACTCTTCCAACTGTGACTGACTAAATACAATCAATCTAGTTGATATGTTAGTTATTCGGTTCCACATGACTAGATGTTTTCTACGATGGCGAAGCAAGTATTAATAATAAAAAGTTCATACTCTTTGGCATAATGAAGAAGGCCTTCCCCATTGGCGAACCGATCTTCGATGCAATATTTGCCAATTATAGAGGTCATCGCAACAGCATTATGACCTACGCGTGCGTTCCAGTCTCTCCCGATTAGGTTCCAGTCTCTACCATGGATTTTATGGTAATTGGTGAATATAAAAAAAGATGCGACTCTGGCAATACTTGAATATGCACCCGATCCACGACTGTCTTGTTGGTCAGTTTGGATGGAATTAGCTGATTCTTTTTCTTACAGCTCTCACTATTACTGTAACCATTCTCCGGGTCCGCTGGTTCCAAGGCTAAGACATTTGCAAGCTATTTGGTCCGATGCCATCGTCGATAGTAAGAGAAGCCATTCCTTTTTCCATCATTTCATTTCATATATCGCTAATCCACATCAGAATCTTTCCGATGATTTTTTAAAAATAAAATATTTATATTTTGTTTCAAATATTATTTGTATTAAAATATTTATAATATTAAATATTTATATTCAAAATATTTATTTAAGTAGATATTTTAAATAGTAATATTTTTTAGAAGATTAAAATGAAAATTGAAAATATCAAATTGAAAGCCGACGGAAGTTTTTAAAAAAATTCATTATTTCAGGTTCTTTTTAATTATTTTAATGCATTCGAACCACGGCAATCACTTAATATTCGACTTACATTTTATCGGATATCAATTAGAAAGCAATAAATAGTAGTTGCTTCCTAATTTCTAAGTTATCTCGGCTTCAATTGCTTCAATATCAATTGCTTTCCATTAGAAAATTACTTAAATCGGTTATACCTGTTATTTGCGGAGGTAGAATCGTCCTCTTAACATTTATCTTTAGATGGCTCTTCTGATTGATGGCTCCAATTGAGCCAAAAAAGATAATAGGCCTCCATCATCAGTTAGAATTTCAATTTTAATGTGAGGATCTGGAAGCAAATTTTTAATTATTTAGTTTATGCTATTTAATATGAAATAATTAAGTGGAGACAGAATGGTTAGAGCCAACAGCCTTTCGACTCGGAGCGGGATTTTTCCAATTTCTCTCTTGGCGATGATTATCCGAGTGATTATCAGATAAAATTTTTCTAATCCAACAAACCACTGGAGTGATCCTAATCAGAAATGGTGAGTGTTCCTAGAAAAAAATATTGATAATTTAGATGTGGTACCTACCATTGGCCACTTAACTTCAAGTAAGGTTTGCTATGGAAAAATTTCAAGATGGTTGGACTTTTGAACGACCATTTTTCCAGAGATTGCTTAAGGTTAATTTGGCAAATTATCAATAATGTCAGTGGTGATAAATTTTGTTTTGAAACGTTATTTCCAATTTTTTTTATTGCTTTCAGTTTTTCATCCGATTTGCCGCTTATCGAGGTAAGAAGTTGGAAGAATTCAATGAGCAACAGCACAGTCAAAGGGATTTTTTGTATTTTAATGAATGTGAAAATCCTAACAAACCTCAAATAGAAAAAAGAGGAATTTTAAAAAACTGGTATTTTGCTAATGAATTTTTTATTATTTACTATAGTTATTTTTGTTGCTGTTTCAGGTTTTCTGTGAGAAATGAGCAGAGTTTCCAACGATATTTTCGTACTTTTAAAAATATTTTGATAAGGAAAACAGAATATTATCAGTCGAAAAAATCGTTTTGATAATATAATAATTATGTAAAAAATAGGTGATCGGGTGGAAAATATTAAAACAAACAAAACCAGGCAAGAAAAAGGCAAAATATTATTCTTTATTTTAGAAATTTTTATAGTTCACCGTTAGAAGCGATTAACGAATTCGGCTCGTTCTACCATCTTTGGACGGGATTTGTTTCTATTGCTTGTCTCTATAATTATTTAACAATTGTTTTAATGGTGTTTGATGATGTTTATAATTATTATTATAATTATTGGATTTATGCAAATATCCTTTTGGATTTCGTAAATATCTTAGATATTGTTGTGCAGTCTAAAAAATGTAATATTTTCCATTGGACAATTTTTTCTCTTTTCATTTTTGAATTTTTTTCAAAATCATAAAAATTTTTCAGCTTTTCTCTCTGATGGCATTCGAATAACTGCGTTTTCCAACACATTAACTAGTTATTTGAAAAAGTAAGTGAAATTACGATCTATCAATAGGAAATTATTCTCTTAGAAAATAGGAAATATTAATTACTTAAAATTTTTGTAATTCTCTCCTTAGTTTGTGACGCAAAATTCACTTTTCCTTCTCAAGAAATCAATGACTGAAAAAAAACGTTATCAATTGCTTATAAAACTTTGTTCTGGCTTTGGCTAAAACTTTTCGAAATTGCGATGTTGCTTAATTTCGGTGGTACTATAGTTTGCTGAATTGGCAACCTTAGTAGTTAGTAGGTTCCATTGTTTGCTAAAAAATTTGACTAAAATTAGCTCGGTAGACCGCAATTTTTATAACAATTTTATATACGCCAGATAGTCCCTTGGCAATAGAAGTACAGATGAATCCCAGCATCACTGGAGTGATTATATTAGTAATCAGTGATTAAATTAATCAAATTCAGCGAACCAAATTGAAAAATTATCTGGAAAAAGATTGATTTCAACATCATAAATAAGTGAGCTTTATAAATTCTCATGAATAAATTTATTACTTCATTTATTTAGATCGAACTTCTTGCTTGATATTTTGGCTATACTACCACTTGATTTTCTACTTATAGTTCGGCCTGATTTTGTTTGGACAAGAACAAATAGATTAATTAAAATATATCGGATATGGGATTTCGTTAGATTAACCGAGACTCGGACTAGTTTTCCTCAAATATTCCGCGTATTCAAACTAACGATTATTTGTTACATAATATTTCATTTAAACGGATGTTTATTCTTTTTCATCAGCAAGCAATATAATTTCGAAAGTAATTGCGTGAAACATTTTATTTTTTTCGATAATTTCAGTCTAAAGCCGAGGAAGACGAGAACCCGGGGAACCTCAAAATACTAAACGTTACTCTATTTATCTTAAAATTATATCTATTATACTACTAGAAGAAATTCGAGTTAGATTTATATATTTTGCTGAAGACACCACTTTTTTTTAGCTGCATTTATCGAGGATTGGATCTTCTCGTATGACAAAATATCAGATCCTGTTGTACCATATTCTGACTTTGCAAGAAATTCGCCCAACATTACTTTTTTTCACACTGGGCAGATAAATCAAAGTTATGTGGAAGATCTCATGCACTACTGGCAGAATAAGTAACCTTAGTTTCATCATGCAGTTATCATTTCTTATCGTCAATTTAAATATTTTATTACTTTGCAGCATTAATTATATCCCTTTTTAGAACATTATCTATAAAGTTTGGCAATTTTATAAAACAATACGCACTAAGCTTTTACTGGTCAGCGTTGACACTGGTTACACTTGGCGAGCAGGTAGCAAATTAATTCTACGTTGTTGTTATATCATACGATCTTTATTTTTGAGTTTGTCTATTGTCTATTCTAGCTTGTCTATTTATATATAATGATCGTATATTATGACACATAATCTGCTTAGCCTAAGATGCCCTACGATAGTAAAGGGTGACTTAGAGAAAGACGCGTTCATATGGGAGAATGATATTAACTGAAGGCAAAGTATAGGAGACTGAAAGAAAGTACCATTCTCATATGGCCTTCTGGATGAGGTTAAACCAGTATTATCTTAAATAATATGAAAAATGGTAATATCATGGAAAATAAAGAGGAAAAAGATGAAAGCGTAGTAAATAGAAACAAATGAAAAATGCAAGGCGAGGATTTTATTCTTTTCTTTATTCTTTATTCTTAAAAGCTTCATGTTCTGCTCGAAACCAATGTACCAATCTACCACTGTATTAGGCCACTTTAATTGCACCATTCTTTCCCAGAAATATTTCCCCTCCTCCTGACTTGACTTTTGAACATTTTGATTCTTCGGAAGCAGTTTATTTTCATATGATGAAAATTTGAAAAAAAAATAAATTTAAAAAAATTCTGTGCTAAAAATATAAAAGATTAATAATATCATTCTCTAGCCACCTCCTAATAAAACGTCTCAAAACGCCTTCGAAATTATCGTCACTCTACTTGGAATTATCATTTTTGCCGTCATAGTCGGTGAAATAGGTAGTGTGGTAATTAATATGAATGCTGTAAGAGCCGATTTTGAAGAAAAGTTGGACGGTTGCAAGCAATATATGATTTTCAGGCAATTGTTTCTTAAAATTTATCAGTTGTTTTTTTATTGTTATCATCATTTTTATAAGTTTTCTTAGATTGATTCAGATGAAATTTGGGGAAGAAAGCAAAACATTATTAAAGAATTAGATGAAACTTGCAGAGATGTACCATCTCAACTTCAAGAGCGTATAAACGGCTGGTTTGAATATGTTTGGGAACATGGCCAAGCAATCGTTGATGAAGAGGTGGCTTATTTTTCATAAGGGATATGCGACTTCATGCTCTGCAAAAAATCTTGTCAATAGTCGCAAAATATATATATTTACATAAATTTTTGATAAAATTGAAGGCAATCGCTGAGTTTTTACCGAGTCGTCTCTATGCTAGTCTCGCAGTTTCAGTTCATATGGCAACGCTCAGGAAAGTCAAATTATTTGAGGTCAAATGTTTTCCTTCAACCATTCATTATATTTATTTTAAATAAAATATCGTTTGGTGCCAATTTAATCTTTTTTGCCATAACTATCGAAATTCCTTGAAGGATTGCGAGGCAAAGCTTTTATTTGAGCTCATTCTCATGCTTAAACTGCAAGTGTTCAGTCCATTTGATTATGTTTGCAAGAAAGGCGATATTGGTAAGGTAATGTGATATTTACAATTTGCTAATTTTGGTGCCTGTCCTGCTTTCATTTTTCGTTCTTAATTTCTGGTATTACTGGAAAAAATTTAATTATAGGAGATGTATATTGTGAAAGAAGGAGAATTAGAAGTAGTAAGTGAGGATGGAGATATAGTTTTCGCCACACTTCGCGCTGGAACTGTTTTCGGCGAGCTATCTATTCTCGACATTCCAGGTTTGGACTTTAACATAAATTTTGCATATTTCCTATTTGAAACGATAGCATTCTCGGAAAAAAGAAAAAAATCCGAAGTTTCTTTATTTTTAAAAGTTTTGTAAATTCAATTTTATTAATTTTTAATCAAAGGCAATAAAAATGGTAATAAAAGAAGTGCAAACGTTCGTTCCGTTGGTTATTCCGATTTATATGTTTTAACTAAAAGCGATTTATGGGAAATATTAGCTGAATATCCTCATGCGAAATCATTGTTGATAGCAAAAGGTATTTCGAAGAATTTTAAAAAATTTCCGACTGGAGAAAATAATTTTCATTTAGTGAATTTTGTAATTCCACCAAAAATATCTCTCTTATTGATCAGAAATATTGGCCACAGCTTAATAATTGTTTAGGAACTGGAACGCTCTCCCTCGCTATTGCTGGCACTATTGCCGACTCAGGGAACGATATCGGGGTAAGAGACAGCAATGGCGTACTAATTAAAAGTATTAAGGATCGCCTCATAAGATGGAAAGAATTCTTTGAGGCCAAACTTAACCATGAAGCGCCATCTGTTGCCCCTAATATAGCTGATACGTTTGCCGAAGCATACCGTGATGGTCTCGCAATTGAGAATCTCTAATAGAAGAAGAAATAAATAAAATAGTTAACCATAAATTTAAGGCCAACAAAACTCCAGGAGAAGATGGTCTTCGGGCTGTGCTTTTCAAATATTGTCCATCGTCCTTCATAACGCACCTTCAACAAATGTACTCTTTAGTATGGAAAAAAGAAATATTACCAAATGATTGGAGCAAAGCAATTCTGCTCCCAATTCTCAAGAAAGGTGACAGGACATACTGCGACAATTATCGAGGAATCAACCTACAAGACCCCTCAGCAAAAATTTTTGCTTCCCTGACACTCAACAGACTTATGGAAGTACGGGACAGCAGGATGCGCCCTAATCAAGCTGGTTTCAGACCAGGGGGTGGTTATGCTGACCAAATATTCACGTTAAGAAGGATGTTGGAACATCGCTTCAAATATTTGCAACCCACTGTCACGTGTTTCATCGACTTTGCGGCTGCCTTTGATTCAATTGATAGAGCAGCGCTTTGGAGGGTGATGGAACGTGATGGTATTCCAGAGAAAATCATTAGCCTCATAAATGCATTTTATGAGTGCATGTCGGCGCAGGTCTGTGTATATGGGGAGCTGACAGATTCCTTCGAAATAAGAACAGGTGTCCGTCAGGGCTACGTCCTTTCTCCTACAATATTCAATTATGCGATAGACTGGATAATGGACATTGTTTGTCGGCACTCAAGAGGATCCGAATTAGTCCAGAGCCCTTTTTGCTGACAATTATAGCGAAATGCAAGTGTGTCAGGAACTGCAGCAAGAATCGGACTTAGGATCAATGTAAATAAAATGAAAGTCTTTTCGTCTTATGTGCAAGAAGCTGATTAAATGCCTCTTTTTGTAAATTCATTGCCGGTTGACGAAGTGCCTGATTTCAAATACCTTGGGTCCACTCTAATACCAAATGGCCAGACAAAAGATGATATTATAACTCGGATCACGGTTCCTAGAAATGTGTTCTTCCGGTTGACGAAACCTTTATGGAATCGTCATGAAATAACCATAAAAACGAAAGTCCGCATATTATGGTCGTTCGATCTTACTATATGGTTCTGAGACATGGCTAATGAGAGTGGAGGATATTAAGAAGTTATCTTCTTTTGACCAATCTTGTCTAAACTATATTTTACGGGTTCGCCGAGTGGATAAAATCTCACAAGATCGCATCCACCTTCGTTCAAATACCAATTGTATTAATAATGTTATCACAGAGCGTCACCTTCGCTGGTTAGGGCACATTCTCCGTCGTCCACCACAGAAGTTGACTCATATTTCGTTATTTGCTGTGACGATTGGCGTCAAAAGTGAGGTGGACCAATGAAGACCTGGGTTGATACGGTGAGAAAAGATTTTGAACGTATAGATGGACCAGCAATATATGGACTTAGACGATGGAAAAAGGAATGGCTTCCATCACTGTCGACGATGGCATCAGACCGCGCCGCTTGAAACCGTCTTACCCTTGTAGCCGTTGGAGCCAGCCTAATCAGTAATTGTTAGAAGAAGAAGAAGATATTGCTGGTTAGACTCGCTTCGCTGGCTTGTCGTACAGGACAAATATGCCATTCCACGGAGTCCTTTGATAATAGAACAAGTGAATCACCAGCATCATCTGGGATTTTTGGCCACCGGGATATTTAGCATTTTATTATAATTGTATCTGAAAATAAGGATAGATTTTCTAATTGATTTTCATTTTCGTTTGATTTAGGGAAAGAGTTATTGAGGAAAGATAATTTGCTAATCGAAGACGTTGAAGGAGCGGATTATCAATGGAATACAACTGAAGATCAGTTAACGATGATGTTAAAATCAGTTTCTAAGATTGATTCAGCTATCGATGATATTTACAACAATTTTTTGGTTATTTTATTTATCTCATCGAAATACTAAAAAATTCATAAATTTTGGAAATTGATTTTTTAAGAAAAAGCAACTAAAATCTAATCGGAACCTTTCTATGTTATTTCTCTCATAGAATCACTGATCACTTACGATTTGACTATTAGGAAAAGATTATCTTCCAGAAAATTATTTATGTGGATTTATTATATAGAATTAATAGATTACTCGATAATTTAGTTAATTGAAAATAGATAAAAACTGATAATGTTGGTTAAAATTTTCAGAAATTGAATGTCGAAGCTAAACAACGCTTAATGAGACTTGAAAAAATCCATAAAAAAATGATAAAACAAAAGCGATAGCAATCAAATACCTAAAAAATGGATAACGGTCTTAGAATCCTGATTGACTAGAATTTTTTAAGATTCATTCTTTTGAAGATTTATGCAAATTGTTTAGCATATTTTTGTTTTTTTTTCGTATGCTCACCATTTTTGGTTAGAATTGTGTAAAAAGTATGAAAAGTATGAATTGTGGGTAGAAAAAAGATCTACGATAGTTTTTTTTCGAAACTACCGTTTTTTATATATTTAATATTTATTGTTGGATATATATATATATATTTAATTTTTATCATTAATGCATATATATTATATAAATTTAAATGAAAATATATATATATATATAAAACGTTTCAAAAACTTTAGAGGTATATGATGATAATATTTTTGCCTTCCTACAAAATCGACTATTGCCATAAAATTAAAACTGCGATTTGTGCATCGAAAGTTGATTTAGTGGAGATAAATTTAAAGGAAATGGCGCAATATATTTTTACAATTTTTTCGCTGTTTTGTCGATGTCTCTCGCTATTTTGTCGATATTAAGCTCGATTTTGTCGTATCCGCTACATAATTTTTTGACAACTTCAACATATTAAACATATTTTATTAATCTTTAACAAATATATTTTATTAATCTTTTTTACGTTCACTCCTTCCAGGTTCGATCAGTGCTCCGAAATGGGCGCAGACGTTTCCGCATCTTATACCTTTAAAATAATTAACAATAAGGTATGGAAATGACGATAGTATTAAAATTTTTTTCTGTTGAAAATTTAATGAAAATTGTTTGAAACACTGGCGAATGCTATTTTCTACTACTTTTACTCATGTGATTTATTTGTTTCAATTTGTATTTGTTGGAAATTTAGCTTTTTAATTCGCGTTGATAGAAAATGTTAGCCAAGCTTATTAATTTGCTTAACGCTAGAGATTGAAACAATTATTCATCGAAATCATGACTTTATCACGTTAATATCTGACAAAATTTGGAAAAACATTTCAAATAATGTGTTCATTTTATGCCCAACAAGAAATCTCTTTAGCAACGACCGCAGGTGCGCATACAAACGCTGTCGAGAACAGGTGAATAGTTTGGATGGTTGCAGAAGGTTGTATAACTTCCATAGGTCATGTTTATCTTCGCAATCTTGAAATGGAGATTGAGTCGTTGATCAAGTCGTTCTCGAGCCGAAAATGTTGATTCTGGCAAAATTTGCATGAATACATCACAAGCAATTATCAAATATGCTAAAGCCAAATTCCTCTTTTGTTTTCAGCAACTGTTTCCTATAAAAAGTTCCATAAAAAGTTGAGTATGTTCTCATGTTGCAGGTTTTCATACAATTTTTCATACAATTTCATACAATACAGTTTTGAGCAATTCTGCTATCGTTCCAAGTGGAAATTAGACAAATGAGTATAAAATTTTCGAACATTTGGCAAGAACTATTTGATGAATTGTGATTTGTGTCTCAAACTTTAAATTAATGCACACTTCACTAGCAGCTGCATCTGGAAAAAGAAATATCTCTTTGTGCATTTCCAATTCAATAGGCGTTCAATAAAACAAGTGAAAACTGAATAAGATTTTTTTTTTTGCATGTACTCATGAATGAAGCGCTTGAGCAACAAACATCGAAGGAAACAAGCCGATAATCTTGTGGTTATTTATAAAATATATATAAGGAAATTTCGAATCATTTACCATTAACTGTTACATTCGCTCCACTGGCTCGAGTGATGTGCCAGAGATTGTTCGATTGAATATACAAAAATAGCAAAAAACATTACGGTGCACTAAAATGCCCACCTATCTATTTTTTTTAAATTTATAGTAATTTTCCAAGTTCCATTAAAATTATGCAGCTCAACAAAGGCCGAAAAATTACACAGTGTGTTGGCTTATCGAAATATTCGTATAAGAGACTGAAGTATCAATTAATTATTTTAATTTATAGTTTAATTCAAATGTTCCCCTATTCATTTTTATTCATTCTTAATCATTAAGCAAGAATGATAATTGTCGAATAAGTAGGGAAATGTTATCAGCACACAAGGAAACAATAATTCATTTTCAGTAATTATTGTACTGACATATGCTTTCGATCCCTCTCATATAAAATAGAAATAGCATAGATGAGATGCTTTTTTTGAAATCCGTCAAAACATTATATAACAAAGACCAACAATATGCATAAGGCATTGGCTTAGAAGCATTATAAAATATTTATAAAATATTTCAGAAGCTTAAGAAGCTATTGGCACCAATATCTCCGCTACTCGACAAAAAATCACTCTTTTCATAACAATAATCAACATATTCCCACCTAAATCACATTAATCCAATTATTCTATGAAATTTCATATTCCTACGAATACAGAAACCATTCTCAATTCGCTCAACCTCGCACATCTCCCTCAACATTAATTTAAGTGAAATATTGGTCTTTGTTTTATAGCAAAAAAGCCGTCTCAATGCAACTACTGAAACCATTGTACTTCGAATATTTTGGCATATAAAAGAGGACAACATACGCAGCACTACTTGATAACTAAAAAAATGAAAGATAAGCTTCCTT